ACAAGACCTTGGCTCTCCAACCTCATCCTGGCTTCTATTCTCTTTCATTTCCCATGTGCCAGCCCTGCTGTCTTCTTTTGATTCAAGGCAAAGGTGTCCAGGGCAGGGCGCAAACACCCCAGGGAGTGCCCAAGATGACTCACTAGAAGGAAAATATTAGAACTTCCATTTGTCTTCATTTGGCATTATATTTTAAAATTTCTATGTATAATTTCTATGTATACTTAAAATGTATACATTGATAATAAATGCATATAATTTTAAATAAATATATGTATATTAAAATAGTGTTAAAAATGTTTTATTGACAAGAGAAGCCTGTCAGAAAAGCTTATAGATCCCTATGCTCACATATCAGGGTCTTTCCTGCCTCAAGATCTTCCTTCCTTCCCACTCCTGTTTTTGAAACCTCTTTTTATTGCTTCTCCCTTACTTTCCTCCTGCTCACTCTTAGTGAAGCTCTAAAGAAAGTGTTAAAAAAATTCTCTGACTCCCAGATCAGGAGTACATCCTCTGTTTTATGTGTCCATCACATCGACACTTCCCCCAAGCCTGCTGTACTAGAGATCTCCCATCCAGAACTCCAGATCCATCCTTTCTCCTGCCTTCTGACCCAGACTACATTGTCTTCCTAGTCCTCTGGGTTCCGGTTGACCTTGTTCTCTAGGGAGCCCTGGCAAGGGATCAGTGGAAGGACAGAAAGGTCCTAATCTCTGTTCACACACACCCTTACTGTAAGAGTGACACAGGCAAGCTGTCTAGAAAGAATGTCTCAAATCCTTTTAAGTCAGCCTTCCCTAAACTGAGCAATACTCTGCTTCTAGGTTCTAATATCTGCTCCTGCCCTTTGTCCCCTTGGTCTTGTGACATATTTTGCTTGGCTTAATCTAGGTTTGTAATTCAAATTAGTTGCTGGTACTTAACAAATAGAAGCTTTTGCATAAATTTTCAAGTGTCTGTCTTCTTTTAAAAAATAAAAATCATAGCTAGGCACAGTGGTGTGCACCTGTAATCCCAGTGCTCAGGAGGTTGAGGTAGAAAGGTCTTCAGTTTAAGCCCAGCCTGAACTACATAGTGAGTTCAAGGCAAGCCTGAACCATATAGTGAGACCTTGTCTCAGAAAACTAAAAAATTAATAAATATAAAAATCAGGCAAGGCCCAATGATATAGTCATGTAATTCCAGCACTTGGGAGGCTGAAGCAGGAGGATTGTAAGTTTGAGTCCTACCTAGGTAACCTAGTGAGACCTTGTCTCAAAATAATAATAATAATAATAATAATAATAATAATAATATAAATAAAAAGGGCTAGAGATATGGTTAAGTAAATAGGTACCTAAATAAATAAATAAGTAAATAACAAAAATAAATCCAAAATTGGCCTTAGGCCCATATTTTTACAGTAATCTTCAATAGTTTTCACCATTTGGACCTGAGTAGCAGCTTCCCTTTCATGGCAGGGTGGGTTCACCTCAAGACTTCATAATCCCAGCTACACTCCCAGCTGCTTACAAAAGCCTGCTTTGCTGTCACCACCTGGCCCAAAGGACTTGAGCTCGCAAGTCCTGACTTAAAAAATGTTACCCAGCAGGTGAGACCTGTGTCAGACTCCTCACCTGCTGTGGGAAAGGGAGGCTGACCTCTCAAATCTGCCTACTTCTCCCTCTCTCCCCTACCGCCACCAAGAGGGTCCTGTCTGGAGCACGATAACCACCGCCGACACCACTGTCCTGCTATCAGGTTGGCTGCTCCTCCATGTCTCTCCCTGTTCCCTATATTGCCAGCCTAATCTTTCTACAGTGGGAGTCAGAGAATATCTTTCCCCTTTAAAACCTTAGGTTTCCCCATCAGTGTAGAGATAAAGGCAGCATTTCTTAAAAATACCTCCAAGGCTCTGGGCCCCAGGATGACTTGGGGCCACTCACAGTCATTCTCCATGCCTCCAGCACAGCAGGCCCCTCTCAGGTCCTCTTGCGGTCGTCTCACCAGCTTGGCACACACGCCACTCCCATGGGTCCTCCTGTCACCTCCTGCTCACAACTAACATGTCCTTACCCGGGGAGGCCTTTCTGTTGTTTATCGTCATTGCTTCCTCACAGGTACTGCACGAGTCATGAGGGGTTTTTCAAAGTCTTTTTCCTCTCATTGGACTGTGAGAGTGGCGTTTGTCCTTCTCACCTTTGAGTACAGTAAATATTCACTGGACATGTGTTCAAAGAGTAGATTTTGGAACCGAGTTTTTTACAGAACAGCAATTCTACTGCTGAGCAACAACTTGGCATGTCTCCTGTAACTATAGACATAGAATGTCTTTTGTGATTTTACATGTAGGTTATAAGGCATGGCTGTAATGTGATTTCACACAAGTGAGGCAGTGAACACACTCAGGGCAATGAATCACCAGAAGCACTTATTCTTACAATCGTCTTTCCTCATGCTGGAAGGGAATTCTTTGCTATAAGTCATTTAAATGAGAGGGAAGGATGGGAATGGGGAGAGGGGAACATTGGGATTGTGCTAAAGGGAGGTTTGTGACAGCAACCTGACTCTTGAATACTCATTATGTGTAGAACTGTGCACAGTTACTGCAGAGAGGTAAGGGGCAGCAAAATGTGTGATTGGTTCTGGAATAGAGATCTGAGTCCGCAACAGGGGAACCAAGAAGGCTCTTCTATAGGGATTACATGAGATTGAGGGCTTGGAATTTTTTATGCTGGTCCTTAAAATAGCAGCTCACCTAACAGGCTAAACAAAACCAGAAGCTTACATCCAGATAGAGAGTTGAAGGAAATCTTAATCCTAAAGATTGAGAAGTAGAAAAGATGTGATTGCCTATTTGCTGGTGCTGATTACCAGCTGACACTGTCCAAGCTCCTGCCTCTTTCTGTTGCAGAAGCCTAGAAAGACACCTCCCTCTTCTACCTCTTCCTCCTCCTTTTCTCTCCTCTCCCCTCATTTCTCACTCTCTCAGTGCTGGACTTGTGTGTGCTAAACCTATACTATACCACTGGGCCACATCCTCAATCTGGCTTTCTTTAATATGCCAATAATACAATAATAATACTATTTTGAGGAAGTATTTCCATGCCAGTAACCATTGTGCCAGTGTTGTTCACAGCAGTTGTTTTGCAAATAAGTCAAATAGGCACTCTGTAATCCTGTTCTGTTTTACTTGCTTGATAACTTTTTTCTTATCTAATAGAAAGTCTGGTCTAGTTTGAACCAAAAAAAGTATGATGTTTTGTTATGGAGTCCAGATTCATTAATTTTTTAACAGTAACCACTTTCCTTACACAATCAATCTATCTATATTTTAAAGGTTTCAAATATTTATTATTGACCCACTAATGCTGATCACAGAAAAAGAACAAGATTCCTGATTAAGCACATTCACCTGTCCAGCTGATAGTATTTGATATGATAAACTTGCCCATGATAAAGACAGTATCATCTTGTGACCTCTGAGAGGGTAAATGTGCTGCAGCTCATGGGTAATTCCTTACAGCCCCAGCTTGGTCCTCCTCCCCAGCACCTCCTCTTGGGAGTTGCACCTGATTTTATTACCAGTCTTTATCCAAATCCATTGAGGAATGGGGCAATTCTGCTTTTACTTCTTGGCCAGGAACCTCTTGATTCTGAAAATCTTGTGTGAAGACATGGTTAGGCTTGGACGCAAAAGCACAATCAGTCTATATTTATGATAGAAAAAAAGTACCAGTAACTCTTGTAAACATGCTGATGAATATGTAAAAACTGTCAGATTTTTTTCTATGTAAATATGTATTTGGGTTTTTTTCTCACTGATATAGCTACCATCCTTTCATACCAGTACATAAAGATCAACATCATTATTTTTGGTGTGCTATTGTATTGATGAATTGCACTTCAACCATCTTTTGCCGGCTACTTAAGACATTCCCAGTATCAAAGAAGTCTTCCTACACATGCATCTTTTATGTGTCAGATTGTTTCTTTAAGGTTAATTGCTGAAGTGAAATAAATGACTGCCTTAAAGTGTGTGGCCATCTTTAAGCATTGTAATACATAACACTGAAGTACAGTCCAGAACCTCTGCAGTCATGAACACTCTCATTAACAGCACCATCCTGTGCTGATTCCCTCACACCTTCCCTAGCATGCTGGAACACGGAGTACTGCTCTGCCATTTACTCTGCGTACCAGGCACTGACAAAGTTAAAGGAAATGCAGACCTGAAAATCAGGAAGAGGTGGAAGATGGGGGCATCAACATTTACAGGTCAATGTGTTGAGATTGTAGTATATTGGAGATCAGAATACTCAGAACTTGGACACTATGATCATCCTAGAGCAGGTGTCATGGAAGGCTTCCTGGCTAATAGGGCTAATTTTGAGTCTAATCTTAAAGGATCCATCTGGAATGAAGTGAATAAAAGACAGGAAAGGAGTGATAGAATGGTCCAGATAAAGGAAAGACCCTAAGTATGAGTGTCTTTTGTTTCAGGAAACAGCAAACAATTTCTAATAGTTGGACTAAAGCATATATGGAAAGCTGAGGATGGTGGACAGGAATTATGGACAATGGGGCTGAAGAGACAGGTCAGGTCTGATCAAGAAGGTCTCTCAGCTAACAAAGAAATTTTGACTTTATTTGGAAAACCAGATAAAGATAACGATTGAACACTCCTTTGGGAGGTAGGAGTTGGCACCAAGATCCACACTGACCCAAAGGAAGAGCACAGATACTCATTTTGAGGATTGCTTCACCATTCCCACTGATGGGCTCTATAGGCTTGGGAACCACCACTAAATCTGTCTAGTAAAATAAAGAAGCTTCAGAATCATGCATAGTTCTCATAACAGCCATATGTGGTGGTTATCAGGATCTCATTTTACACAGGAGTCTGACATTCATATGTTACCGCTGAACCTAAAATTGACCAGGCTGTCAGGCTCCAAAGCCTGAATTGTCTTCTAGTGCTAAATATGTATAAACTCTGGCCCATCCTTTTTATTTTCCAGAAAAAGTTGCCATTAAGATCCTGGACAAGACCAAGTTAGACCAGAAAACCCAAAGGCTACTATCCCGTGAAATCTCCAGCATGGAAAAACTCCACCATCCCAACATTATTCGCCTTTACGAAGTTGTGGAGACCCTATCCAAGCTCCACTTGGTGATGGAGTACGCAGGGGGTGGGGAGCTGTTCGGGAAAATTAGCACTGAAGGAAAGCTCTCTGAACCAGAAAGCAAGCTCATCTTCTCCCAGATTGTGTCGGCTGTGAAGCACATGGTGAGCAGGGGTGAGGACTGAGTCTTACTGCCATTTCACCCACATTAGGAACGTGAGGCTTTGATTTAAAGTCACATAAGAATCCCACAAGGCTTTGGTTCTGTGGGGGCAGATAGTATAGTCCATTGGTCAGAAGTCTGTCTGGGATGATGTTCTTTGCCTCCAAAGCAACATCCAGGAATCTCCAGGTACATGGGAGCCTCCTGGCTTGTCTAGAAGTTGCCAGGGGTCACGTAGGGCAGCCAGATAAACACCATCTACTCACTGGCCATACTGTTTCTCCAGCCTCGTGTTCTATTCTTCAGGTAGTTGGCTCCTCGCTTTTTTTAGCTTTGCCTTCCTAATCCTATGTAGGATGGTCTTTCCCCTCATAACATGTCTCATTTCAGATACTACCTGCACTGCATGACTAGCTCAGTGTGTCTATCTGTCTGTCTATCTCTGTCTCTGTCTCTTTGTGAAGCTTATTTCAGTCTTGTGTTGGCTCACACTGAACTTCCTTGTCTTCAGTGAGGTCTCCTAACTCTTACTCCCTCTGTGCTGTGCACATACAACTTAATTATGTCATTCCTATTACAGTTCTGTGATTATTTCTTTGGATAAATCTGTATTCCTGAGGCATACCCCATAGTTTCTCTAGGAGCTATTCCTTTTGTGCCCTCCCTGTTATCAACCCTATTGGTGGACACAGAAGAGACATTTGACTTGCTCCTACTACTGGTAACTTGGTGGGAGAGTGGAAGAGAATGTCAGAGTAGAGAGTACAGATGTGAGTCCTTAGAAGCCCTAAACCCTGCCGTTTCTCCCAGTTATCTGGTCTCCCAATAGAGGAAAGGTTAATCATAGACATAGATTCAAACTGTGTTTGGTTAATTGGTGTGCCAGGACCACACTGGGCACTGTTGGTACAAAATCCTGTACAGTTCTCACAGCAGCCTTTGCAGTGGTTATCAGGACCCCATTTTATAAGGAGACTGACATTAATATATCACAGCAGGTATAGTTGAACCTAAAATTGACCAAGCTGTCAGGTTTCAAAGCCTGAATTCTTATCCCAAATGATCCATTAGGAAAAGTAACATTAAACTGTTTCCCAATAGCTCTTGAGATTTAATAGGTCTAGTGCCTTCAGAAGGTTGTCTGGATCAAGTGGAAGGTAGGAGGAGGCATGTGCTCACACCTCACAGCAGGACCTGTTGCTAGAAACTTGCCAAATGCAGCCTCCTCCCTTCCACTGAGTTGTATAAAGATGAGAGAACCCATCCAAAGGAGAAAGGCTGGAAGGCTGGAAGAGGACTCTAAACCTTCCTGTTCTTAATCCCAGTCAATGGATCACTCAGAAAAACCCAGATAAGACCTCAAAAACTAAGCGTTACTGTTCAACTGTGATTCAGCATGTATAGTTTAAGACCTAGGTCTTATTTCTGGCACTCATTCCTGAGCCCAACCATGTGGAACAGACTCCAAAAACTCACCTCACAGAAGAATCAAACCTTTGGGAGAAGGGCATTACATTGCTAAAAGGTTGGCAAGATATGACAAGGTTTCCTAACCTATTTAAATTGGTCTCTATTGAATTTCTATTTAACCACTATCAACTTGCTGTGTTAGAACAATGGATACATTTTTAATTTTTTTTATTTTTAAAGAGAAAAAACAGAAATTTCAAAGAAAGATAATAGGAGGTTAGCAATAATTAATACATTGTGTATTATTATCTCCAAAGTAGTTACTCAGGGTACAAGACATAGGCATGAAATATTGTCCAAACAATATTAGCACAAATCTTTCTTTTCAATGAACTAAGAGCAACTAGCAGTATAACTATCTTGTAT